TAGTCAACTGGAGCATTTCCCAGTATGAATGGCCCATTTGCAAATGCATGAAGCCATTTGCAAATACGGCCCTGGCTGCAATCTTGCCCACTTTCATCCCCCTTCTCAAGTCATTTGTACCATTCATACTATGAAAACACAAAGGCACCTCTGTGTCTCCTCAGCCAGCAAAATCCTGGAAGACATTTCTCACCTTTCACAGTCCTAAGACAATTTCGTTGCACAACATAACTGATCCCTAATATATACATGCAAACCAATGTCAGTCATCACTGGCCATTTTAAATTAGTACTGGGGAATGTTTTGGCTCTGTTTCAATGCATTAGTTAGAATTTGAATTTCACTGGCCACACTCTAAAAAATGCTGGGTTATATTTAACCCAGCATTTTTTAGAGTGCACGTTCCACAGGACGTTGAATTGAAATGACATGAAGAGGAATTTACTGAATTGCAATTTGAGAGGAAATCAAGATACATCATTTTATCATTAATTACAACTGATTATGCATATTTACTCCTTGGTAGAAACAGTTTTCATAACTGATTAAATTTGTCTAGTACACTCTAAAAAATGCTGGGTAGTTTCAACCCAACTCTGGGTCAAATATGGACTAACCCAACCGTTGGGGGGGAGGGGTGGGGGGCCAATTTGGCTGTATTTCTAAATATTGGGGGGACTTGTCCCCCTCTGGTGGTGGGCCCTGTAAAAATAAGATTTGGATTTGTCTTTATAATTTGGACATTGTAGAATGGTAATCTCTTGGCCAGGTTTCATGTCGCTGCATGAGTGCAAATGTGTTTTTTGAGTTCACGTACTCTCAGAAAACAATGATACAAAACTGTCATTATGCGGTACCCCTTAATAATTATAATTATAATATGTAGGCTACTTTTAAAGCACGAATAGGTACTAATGGACCATTTAGGGGTAAATAAGGTATAAAGATGTACCTTTTAGCTTTTGTACCTTACTGCCCCAGTGACAGCTTTGTACCTTTTTTTTAGAGTGTGTCACCTCATCTCCATATACACTACATCACTGGGTCTGGTGGAACGATCTTCCCACCCATATCCGGAATGCTGAATCCCTGACCATTTTCAAGCAACAGCTGAAAACTCACCTCTTTAAACGTTATTGACTTCATCTTTAAGAAGAATCGCTTTATGTATTTCCCCAATTGTAAGTCGCTTTGGATAAAAGCGTCTTCAAAATGACTAAATGTAAATGTAAACATCAGGCACTTTGAATCAAGTGTGTGGTTTTGGGGCCACCTGAAGTAAGAACCTCTGTTTTACATGAATGCAAATCACGTCTGAACATTCCTCAGCTCTGGGTAGGACACTATTGGTAACTTTCCCACAAGCTTGTTTTTGGAGTCCTGGAATAAAAGGGGGTTCATGCCCTTAGAACTGCTTACGTTGTATTGGGGGACATACAGCAGGAATATTCCCCGTTCCTTCTCAAACACATCTACACACTGATCCCTATCCTCCTCCTCCTGTTACATAACAATCATCATTCCTGTCATTGCAAACTGCATGATCTAAATACCTAATTTCTTAAGTGCTCCCAGTGTATGGTAAATATTCTTTATGAAGCAACTTCAGACTGCACGAAAAGACTTCCAGAGTCCTGCTTTATGTTTGAGGCCTCTTGTATTTAGACCCTCTTTTTGTTTCTTTCTGAATAGAAAGAAAGAAACAAGCTTAGAAGATGTGTGTTTACGCCAGATTCTCATCTTAAGAATTAAATACGAAATCACTGATTCAATTTATGTTTCAGAAAATAACTTTTGTGTTCCATCGCCTGCCTTTATTTAAATCTTTCTTTATCCTTCACATTGATCACTTTAACTGCACACGCACAGAAGGAAAGCCCACTGATGATCCTTTCTAGAGAATTGCTAATGCCTCCTTGTTATCAAAACTGATGACCTCGAACCAAGCGGATATAGCTTCTTAAAAGGGAAAAGCCCTAAAAACTAGAAGTCTCACTTTTGCCAAAACAGTTGTGAAAGATTGTTTTGCCTTTGGGTTCTTATATCAGTGTTTGGCAAGCATAGGTGCATCAGGCTTCTCAAAACTTAACTATAATCATGTTAATATTCACAATCCTCTAATCCTTTTATTTCAATGTATTGTTCAATTGGTTTTTGAGGTGCATGTGCAAAGAGCAGAAAGGACTCGTGGGCACAACAACAATCTGGCACAAGAACAGGCAGGGAAGGAAATGTGAAGGGCAATGAATGGAGCTGGTAAGGCAAATTAACTAAAAACAAAGTAACAAAGAGCTGAACCCAGATATGAGACCAACAGAAGAGCTCATGGGAACAACAAGCAAAAGCTATGTGTCAAGTCAAGAGAGCAGATGGCAGCTGAACTCAATCATCAGCCATTATATCATTATTTTTATTATTATTGGTTTTGCCGCTTAACATTTTTGTGGAAACCATGATACATTTTTTCGGAAACCATGATACATTTTTTCAGGATTCTTTGATAAATATATATTTTTTTGTAACATTATAAATTGCTTTACTGTCACTTTGGATCAATTTAGTGCATTCTTGATAAATAAAAGAATTAATTTCTTTTTTTGAATTAATCAATTAAATGACCATTTCTTTTATGTTTCATCCACCTTCAGCAGGTATGTCAAAAATCTTGAGGTGTGACTGAAGAACTGAGAACTTCACATTGAGTTTGAGGGTCATGTGGACACTGGGGTACATAAGGAGGTTTTTTATTGGTATTGTGAATTATTAAACCCATACAAAATGGCATATATATATATATATATATACTGTATATATATATATATATATATATACTGTATATATATGTGCATATACATTTTTGTCACAGTTTGTCATTCTGCAGCCTGTGCCAAATTGCTTTAATTTTCAATACACACTCCATACCCCATAACAAAACAAAAAAACAGATTTGATAACTTTGATCTTTTAAAAAAAAAATTATTAGAGAGAAAAAAATGAAATATCACATTGACAAAAGTATTCAGAGTATTAACTATGTACTTCATCAGAGCACCTTTGGCAGCAATTACAGCCTCTGGGTTTTTTGGGGGGTATGATGCAACGAGTAACTAAAGAAAATGCAAAAACATATACTGTAATTCCATTACATATCTTTCAAAAGAGCACTGGATCACCCAGAATGACACTATAATCATAATCTGAAAAGTTGCTATCGACTGAAAGCCCTTTTGTTTTTGCAGGTTGACAGAAAAGGCAAAAGTAAAGTTCAGTTTTTGTATTATTGTGAACATTTTCTTGCCTTTATGGTACAGTTATGTAGACATATAGAGAGTAAAAACTACTCGCATGAGACCATATAAGTATTATGTGTATAAATATACATATGGTGGTAAATCTCAAAAAGACTTAATTTACCCAATTCCCCTAATAGTCATTCATATCGAAGAAAAATCATAGACATTCACTTTTTTTATTCAACATCAAGATTTTAAATAATTTCATTTCTGTGTAATAAAACAGAGAAAGTGTATATTTAAGCAGAAAACTGGTCATCATCTTTCAAATATGTAAATAAATACATCTTAATTTAGTACAAACATTTAATGTAGTCTCAGTTAATACATGCCAATACCTGTCATATCGACTACCTATGTGTCTGTACAACATTAGTTATTGAATCAATGTGTCGAGGTAGTTGCTGAACAAAGAACTAGTTTGTTTTGAGGGGAAACCACAGGAAATGCACCTGAAACATCTACTGGCAGAATGGCATTAGTATGTAATGTGCAAAATTGTATATATGAAGTGATGAATCAAGAGCATCAGTTTAAAACGGATCAGCTGTATGTTCCTGTAGCTCAACTGGTGGTAAAAACACCAAAACAATAGGTTTAATTCAAAAGATAAAATTTCAATGAGCTGGAAGTCGCTTTAAATCGCCTTGGACACAAACTAAAAAACCCAACTCTGCCTTTCACTGGTTTGTACACTGAAGAATATGAGGCTTGTTCTTTTAATATCCATCCATAACAAGATTACAAATTCGGGTATTAAGATGAATGGGGATCCCGGATTTCACCTAGTTTGAGACTAAAGGATTATGTGATTGAGCAAATCACATTAAGTGGGTTTCCTTCAGTGCCATTGTGAGAAGAGGGTTACATTTGGAAGCACAAGAGAACTAAGTTCATTGTGGAAAAAAACAGACAAACAACAGACAAATGCTTTACTTCCACCCTGTATCTCAAAGAAAAACAAAATCTATCAATTACTCACCATCGTGTCGTTCCAAAACTGTATGACTTTCCTTCTTCTGTGAAACATAAGATATTTTAAAGATCGCCTCAGTGATAAAACAAAAGAAAGTCATGCAGGTGTGGAATGACAGTGAAAGCGGAACTTCTAAAAAATTTGTTCTAAAAATAACCAAGCTTCTTAAAAATGCTGCCTTTAAATATAGCCCAAAATAATACTTAAAGGGATAGTTCACCCAAAAATGGACAGTCTGTATCCAGATCAGATGGTCACCGCAGTCACCCGGATCCAGTCCATATCCAGACCAGATGGTGGATCAGCACCTAGAGACAACCTCTACAGCCCTGAATGTTAGCGGAGATCATGTCAGCTAGATGCACCCCAGAGACCGATCCCCCGTGAAGACCTCGTCACCTCGACGACCATCGGCACAAGACCACAGGAACCAGACGAGTCCTCTGCACAATATGACCTGTGTTGCAGCCTGGAATTAAACCACGCCATGCTGGTTTCGTCTGGCCAGAGGAGAACTGGCCCCCCCGACTGATTCTGGTTTCTCCCAAGGTTTGTATACATTAATGTTGATTAATGCATGATGAACTAACAATACCTTAATAAATGAAAATTAGATCAATACATGCTGTAAACACTGTTCACTGAGGTACGTAATGCACTAATACAAATGTATAGAGTCTTGTTAGTTACCAAAGTATGTTTTATTTGAAAAAAGTTTACCAGTACATTTCAAAAACAGGTTTGGCTTTACAGTTCAGTTTCTCACAACAAATTCAAAAATAATAATTACATTACATCCTGTTTATAATACTATACTATAATGTACTATACATATTAGATTCTTGAATCTTTCTGAAATGACAGCAGTTTTGCTTAATTCTCGCTGTCTTTAAATGGCTCTGTCTGAGACAAACAGCCATGAATTGTATTTTATTAAGATGCTGGCCGTCCCAGGAAGTGCGTTGTTTGGGCCTGGTGTCTCTAGATGCTGACAGTGCATCACCGGGCCGTGAGTGAGTTCACTTGCGGAAGCGTTTAAACAGAGGATGGACATTCTTGCTGGCTGAAGACTTGCTACTGCGGGACGTCTGGTATTCCATGTAGACTGTATCATCTGCACCAGACATGGAGCTCATAGTTCCCATACGACGAGAAAACTATAGAAATGGGTCAATAAAAAAAACAATCCTTACTGATACATGTTAAGCAGGTTAACATAAATCATTCTGACACAAACACAGATTAACCCACTCCTTAGAATGCTTTAATGCATGTCAAAACTATAAACCATAAGCAGAAAGGTGATAGGCTGAGGGCATGTGGATGAAGAAATAAAATGGTTGGCTGGTTCTCAGTTTACCTGAACATTTAATTTTCTCACCAAGTCATTCCAAAACCTCTGACTTTCTTTCCTCCGTAGGATAAAAAAAAAAGCAGAAATTTTGAAGAAAGCAGCTTTCTATGTTTTTCTATTCTACTGTTTTCATAGAAAATTGAATGGAGACTGAGGCTGTTAGGATCCAAAACTGACATTAAAGCACCATAAAAGTAATTCATACCACTCTTTGATTTCTGAAGCCATACAATAGCAGGATTTTTAAGCTCAAATTTAAGACCCTTTTTAAGACCTGCACAAATAAAATTAATACAATATGAGCGGGGTAGGGCAATGTCTATAGTACCATATTAAACTATAAAATTACTGTAAAAAGCATAATTTACAGTTCAGATACAAGTTTTCACAAAAACAAAGTTTTATAAAATGACAAACTTTACATTTCAGCCTTTAAACTATTGTTAAGAAAATGGATGAGTCAAAAGTATTATTATATTAATTTAAACAATTATCAATAAATTATTATATCAATTAAATGACAAATTATGGGTGTGTGCGATATTGATAAAAAATTATATCTCAATAATTTTCTGAGATTTTATCGATAACGATAATTAGACGATATTTTGTCGAGTGTGTTATTGTGCTGATATCTTAAGGACTACCGTGGACAGCTGACTCCTGAATTTTTTGATATTCTTCATATTCTGTGTGGTCAGTTCACAGCAGTGATAGAAATTAATCTTTTCCAATAAGTTTTATGGGCAGTTTTACTTTTAAGCCATTTTTTCTGAAAGTGTGCATCATCTTTTGAGTCAAATTCTTGCATTTGGGTTGTTACCAAGCAAATTAAATCAGTATCAACAAAATGTATCTTTGCAATGCAGAGGAAACACAGAAGCTGCATTAGAAGTGGCATTTAGATGCATTTACACACGGTTTAATGCAGCTCTGAGGGACATTGGATACTTTAACCTGCAGTTACAAATGCACAAATAATGTTTTGATATTTTAAAAACAAAATGTTGAAAACTGATATTTGAAATTGTTTTAATTTAAAAAAATGAAAAGGTACCTTAAACGTGAAATTAAAACCGCCAGCAGGTGGCAGCAAGTCACTGTTAATAAGTGAGTCGTTGCGTTTGAACCGAATCATTTAAACGGTTGATTCATTCAGGAACAAAGCACCGTCCTGTTGCTCAGAGACGCAAAACAGCGCTGTTGCTGTGTTTGAAGTGATTTTTGTGGGAGAAATAGATGGTGTCTAAAACGTAAATCTCTTAATATTAATTACATGTTTATTGAACTGTAGTATAAAATCAATGTCCCATTTGTAATCATGCTTCCTTTTGGAGAAAAAAACGTCACTCTTCGTGTGATATTAACTATATCAAATTATTTAAATATATACATTTTCTGCCCCATATCTTAAATTACGTGACAATTCTAAATGCATTTTTAATAGACTGATTCATGCAGTGAAAGAGCGCACTCTAAATGCGCACACGCACTAGTCTAACCTACTAGACTCCATCACCTAATGAGTGAACTCTGTAGGTTTGTTGTGTTTGCTTTTCACAATATACTCGTATCATCAAATCGCACATCGTTAAAACAACAATTATGATATTACCGCAGACCATACATATCGCACACCCCTATGTTTAGATTTTTAAAATGCATTGTCTTCTTATCGATCTACCAGTTCACATTCAAAGCTCTGCGTGTTTGCAGGGTAAAAACATGGGTCGATTTTCGCATTGGTCTGAACTCTGAACAAAACAACAGATTTATTGAAAATGCTCATTCATTCTCTGCCAGCAGGTGGAGCGTTTGGTAGAAATATAACTGTTTCCACGGTAACGGCAGAACACAAAGCAGCGCAGCACCGAATTTTGGACGTGCAGCGCTTGTGTATAAAATGTGAATAAAATCATAGCCTTTTGAAGTTTAATCCTCACATTCAGCCATATCGCAATTCTGGTCTTTCCGTCCCCAAATTTAAGACCTCTTGATATCATAATTAAGACTTTCTTGTACAATTTAAGACTTTTTAAGACCCCGCGGAAACCTTGAATAGTTTTGTGTGAGGAATAGACTGAAATTGAAATAGAAAATTTTGCTCTTCATTGCAGTAGTCAATTTGCATCTGATCGTTCACATATTCAAATTTGTGAGAGACAAGAACCGCCATATCTGAAAATACCAAATGTGAGAGCAGTTTCATTATTCTTAACTAAAACTAAAATTTCTAATATAAATCTATTATCTCATTTGTATTCCCAACCACTAGATGGCAGACATGTAGTACTTCGATTCTAGACCAAAATTATGTCATGTTCCTATTCAAAGTGTTTGAGGAAATAGCAGAGCAAGTGAGCTATCGTGTCATTGATGCGGAAGCAGTTCAGTTCAGAGCGTCTTAAGTAAATTGTGAGAGAAAATCGCCAAATGGCTAATAAAAAGTTGTACCGTGAGGATGTGTTGCAAATGTTATTCGCCGATTCTGACTCTGAAGGGGAATATTTGCCTTTTGGAAATAATGATCGGTCGTCTAATGATCACGCTTCTCCCGGTACATCTTTGCAGCGCAATGGTGCCGCCATGCAAGGCGCGAGTGTTCACGAAGCACAAACAAGTGATCATTTCGACCCTTTGCCCAACGGGGATGGGGGTGGCAGGGGTGAACGTGGTCGTAGTGTTCATAGGAGAGCTGTTGCTAGAGGTAGAGGCAGTAAAGTACAGGTGCAGTCAGTGTGGGGTAGGTCTGTGCGCTGTGCCATGCAATGAGAGGTACCATACTCTCAAGAACTATAAACTTTGTCACCTAGATACCTGATTGGGCAGATAGCTTGGTCAACTGATCAAAAAAATAGGCACATGCATTTTACTTTGGCACAGTAATATAGTAATAATTTACTATAGTTACTAATAGTTTTACTGTTGATTTCCTCTTTTCCTGATCATTTGGAATGAGGATAAAAATAAGTAAAAAAAAAAATAAAAAAAAAAAAGCATGTAAATAAGTTCAAACATCAATTCAATATCTACTATTTCCTGAATATTACTGATGAACTGATCAAAAAGTAGGCTACTGTCCACATGCGCTTTACTACTATATAGTATAGTAATAGTAATAATTTAGTACTTTCTTCTATTTTATTGTTGGTTTCCTCTTTTCTGATCATTTGGAATGAGGATAAAAAGACAAAAAAAACAAACAAACAAACATGTAAATAAGTTCAAACATCAATTCAATATCTACTCTTTCCTGAATATTATGAAATTCAGGATGGCCGCCCCCTGATGACGTCATATGCAAATTAGACGAGTATATTTACACCCCACATAAACGTTCGGTCATGCCCAACATTTTTCTAATTTACAGTAGATCTCTATCTTTAAGCGCTTTCAAGCCACAAGCTTTTGAAATCTTGATGTCAAAATCCAGCATTTTTTCCAAAAAAACCCTGGCGCTTAAAGGGTTAAAAGCTGAAATAAAACAAATATTAGATGAAAAACAAACTAAACAAAAATTGCTGTGTTGGCAACTAATTTAAATAAGTTTAAGTACTAAAATTACTAACTGAAATAAAAAAAAGAAATTATTATTATTATTTTTAATATTAAAGAATAAAAATTACAATAGCGCTTAAAATTACAAAAAATATAACCAAAATTTAAAACGACAACTGGAAATATAAAAGTAATTTTAAATTTGCACACACGTTATACTGACTACTTATGGGTTTTTTTCAGCCTTGGAGCTTGACAAGTCTCAATCTCTGTTCACTTTCTTTACATAAAAAAAAAAAACAGCATAAAAATACTGCTCCTTAATGTTCCGCAGAAGAAAGAAAGTAAATGACAAATTTTTTGTTTCTGGGTGACCATTCTTTTAAATCTGACCAGAGACCAGTGTTTGTAATTTCTGTGATTAGTAATCAAGATCAAAACAGCAACTCACACCTAGCAAACAAATGAGGCAGCAGAGAGGAACAAAAACGAGTGGAGATACCTGCGGCTTCCCTCCCACTTCTCCCATCACAACTTCCTCTTCTGCGTCAAGATCAGATGCTGCCAGAACCTTCTGCAAGAGCTGCTGCTGTTCCTCACGAGAGGAAAACATCAAGTCTTCCTCCTCCATCCCAGCCAACTTTGTGATCACCTAAAAAGAAACAACAAGAATGTGACAGACTGAGACTCAACATACCTGGTATTAACATCCAGTTTGGCTACCATTTCCAATCAGCATAATCAAATTCAGGTGTTTGCAGTTCAAGTATGGCCTTGAAACCTTGAAACTGTATCCCTGGTCCACCAGGAAGCGCTGTCTCTTGGTGGAATAAGCCATTTCCTGTGTGTCCTGAGAGACCAGTGAGTAGAAGTAAGCATTGTATTCCTCTGCAACCATACCTGTGCAACAAAAAAATTATGACAGGTCAGTTTTATATAGATTTGAAATTTAGTTGTATAACATTTAAAAATGAGTCCAAAAATATTGCATGGTCGTTTCTTCACTAGAAGTTCTAGATGATCTCAGAAAGCATATATTATATCAATATACAACATAAAATGAAATTAAAATGTTCTATCCAGATATCCCATAATGATGTTCAACGTCAATTGACTTCCAATGGCCGGTTACCTTTCTTGGCTCGCAGCACTCTGCCCAGTCTCTGAGCTTCTTGACGACGAGAACCGCCGTGAGAGGAGATCTGGATTAGCACGTTTGCCTCTGGCAGGTCAAATGACGTATCTCCTACCTGACAGAAGAAGAAAACAAGAGAAAGCATAAGAATGGAAGAGGAAGATTGAAGAAGAGGAAGACAGCCAATCAAACCTGCTAAATAGGACTGCAAAAAACTAAATGCCTAAATCTTTCATGTGAAACCAGATAAAGTGAACATTTGAGAACACTAACGCCAGAAACACAAGATCGCCTTGGCGTATTGTTACATTTCAGAATGTAACACACTATAAAAATATGATTTGAAGCCTGTTAATGAAGTCAGAACAGCATCCCAGCACTTCTGAAATCAGTGCCTCAATTAATCACACACCGTCACAACCTTTGTTGGATGCAGAATTTCAAGAAAAATATATATATATTTTTTTATGCCAAATATTTTGTTGGAAGTTTGTTCTCTTGGTACTGCTCAAAAAGTATGGCATATGTAAAATGAGTAATACATTTTTTCATATAAATTAAAACAGTGTAATTTCTGCATAACATCACCAAAATAATGACAGGTTATTTATTGTTTGATTTACTTTACCATGACTTGTGGACACAAGGGTTTACTCATGACAACATTCAGAAATGTACTGTTTAGTCTGCTAGAATTTTTAAGATATACAGATGTATGATGTTTTAAACAGCAGCAGACATCACGCCCACGGACCGTTGGCTAAACGTCTGATGCAAAAGCTGGTGCACACTTCAGGAGTTTCGAAGTCGTCGTCGGATTGGTTGAATTATACAGGATTTCCGGTAGACGTGCGTGTCACGATCTTTAACATTCCGCCTGGAAACAAAGATGCCGTGATGCCAAACCCCCTCACGAAAGAAGAAAGCCGTCGTGTTTACAACTGTGATGACGAGTGCTTATCAGGATCAACTAAATGCTGGATTTTCAAAAGTATGTGAAATATTTCAAGTTCGCGGCATAGAAAGATAAAATACGTCCGAGAGTTTTACACACTGTTATTGTGGAGACATTTCCACGCCCCGAAACGTGACGATGAACAAAACTAACTGTCGGTCAAACGGCCTCACGGGCGGGTCTTGGCCAATGAAAGCTGCCATGAATTCCAGACCTTCACGCCGTCAGTCTGAAGGTCTGGCTACACGAGACTACACTGAAAGTGACTGTTGAGCTCTACAACAAACCTTCCAGAAAAAGAATTGGCAAGCATAATGTTGTTGGGGTAAAGCACTGGTGTATGCAAAAGTGATTGTGCACAAATAAAATGAGGCATTACTTGTTCAGGCGGATGGCATATTCTTTCAGAGCGAAGACGTTGTCGGCAAAGACGATGATCTTGTCGTTTCTCCGCTCGTGGAAGCGGATCAGGAACTGACATGCACGGAACTTGTTGGGATTCATGGTGTAGAGCAGAATTCTCTTCTTCGACTTTATGGCCACATATTCCCGATAAAACTCAGGAGACATGGGACACCATACCTAGACACACAGAGAGCAAGAGGGAAATGTACTGTAAGCCTAAAGCACACAAAGGGAAAACATTTTTAAAACACAAAAATAATGCACACCACTCTTTACAATTTTCTACAACACCCATTGGATTACTGCACCCCTCCAGCTATCTTAACTAGCTACATGGATTAGCTCCTCAAAAGGACAAACTCCAACAAACTCTCATGGTCACTAATCTATGAAGCTGCTATTTAATTAAAAACATATATGGAAGTTATTATATACACATGTAAACCTTATCTATGCATCTTTACATACACAAAAAGGAAATAAACTGAAAAAATATTTTAATCTTTTCATCAAGTTCCTAACTCATTTTGCGGTTAAAGGATTAGTTCACTCCAGAATTAAAATTTCCTGTTAATTTACTCACCCCCATGGCACCCAAGATGTTCACGTCTTTCTTTCTTCAGCCAAAAAGGTAAGGTTTTTCGAAGATTAAGGTTTTTGAGGAAAACATTCCAGGATTTTTCTCCATATAGTGGACAATGCAGCTTCAAAGGAATAAGGGTCTTATCTAACGAAACAGTCATTTTCTAAAAAATTTAATATATATACTTTTTAACCATAAATGCTCATCTTGCACTAGCTCTGTGATGCACGTCTGCAAATTCACGCATTACGTAATCATGTTGGAAAGGCCACTTTTTTCCTAGCGGAATAAATCTTTTAGGTTTCAAAAGATGAAAACATCCAGAATATGCACACGAATGGCCCATTTTAAACAATAAACTGATACAAAGACATAAATAATAAATGTGTCATTCAACATACAACAACTTTTGAACGTTCCTTCTTCTCCACACTTGTAAACACTGGGTTGGTATTTTCGCCTACGTCCAGCGTTGACTACATAATGCAAGATGCTAGAGACGAGCATTTGTGGTTAAAAAGTATACAAATGTTTATTTTATTTCTTTAGAAAATGACCGATCGTTTCGCTAGATAAGACCCTTGTCTTATCTAATCGTGTAGAAGCCTTTGAAACCGCAATTTGGACCTTCAACCTGTTGGTCCCCATTGAAGTCCTGGAATGTTTTCCTCAAAAACCTTAATTTCTTTTCGACTGAAGAAATGTCATCTTTGGATGACGTGGGGATGAGTAAATTAGCAGGAAATTTTAATTCTGGTGTGAACTTTTCCTTTAAGGGCTATAAAAGGGAAGGAAATTATTTTTTCTTTAGAATAACCTGCAGTGCTTTGCATTGGAGGTTTTTAATATTTATAGAGCTTTTTTGTAAAGATGGTGTTCTGAGCACAGTAAACAATGCATGGATCGGCACGTGGATTTCTGCTCATGTGGCTAAAGGGTCTGCTGGGCTTTTTGTTTAGTAAGATCAAAAAATGAGAGGCAATACTGAATAACAGTATTGTATTTTCATTGTACACCAGGCTCCAAAGCCTCCCAACCCAGTGTTTCACAATTTCACACACCTTGTGGACCCTCGACAAGGTTCAGACGTCAATCTAAGTTCACATTATGAAATATACACATGAAAAGATCTTTTGTTGTCTTTTTTTGTAACTTTGGGGAAAATGTTCAGTTTCTTTTCCTGTTACATAATTGTTTCGGCAAGATAATTATATTTTAAAAACCCTCACCTCAGCACACTGGACTTTAGCAATGTAACCACTGTTCTGTAGTTCCATCCAGTTCGCCTCATAGAGCTTCGGCCCAATCAGGAAGTTAAGATCGACAATCTTATCATCCTCTCTCACTAGTGTGGCAGTGAGACCCAGTTTACAGTGAGCCTGGACTATCGTCAGAACACGACGGAACATCTTTGCTGCAAGACAAACACAAAACAGTCAGAAATCTATACGGTTTTCATTTATATTATTATATTATGTGTTTAAATAATTTCTCTGTTCTCAATGAAAGTGAAATGCTGAGCAAAGCGACAAAATTCCAGCCAATCAGAAGATATTCCTCCTATATTAAATTTAATTTTGCTTCTCCACAATTTTCTGAAATTAATTCAGACTAAAACAGTTTTAAACAGAAGAACAAATATCTGAGCTTGATGTGAAGAACAACCTCATTGCTTCTGCTTACCACAGAGTATCTGCAGGATTTTAGGCTCAAATTTAAAACTTTTTAAGACCTTTTGTAAGACCTGCATAAATAAAATGAATACCATATGAGCGGGGTAGGGAAATGTCTATGGTAAGATATTAAACTGTAAAATGACTGTAAAAAGCATGATTTACAGGTCAGATACAGGTTTTCACAAAAACAAAGTTTACATACAAAACGTAAGATTTCAGCCTTTTAAACCATTTTTAAGTCAAAATGATTAATCATTATATGAATTTAAACAATTATTATGAATCAGTTATTATATTAATTAAATAGCATTAACTAATTAAACATTAAATAACATTAAATATTTTACTGCCTTAAATGTTTAGAATTTTTAAATGCCGATTCATTCTCTGCCAGCAGGGGGCGCTTTTGGAACGGAAGAAATACAGCGGTTTCCCTGGTAACGGCAGAACAGCAGCGCTCCTTTATTTAAAGGGGTCATATGATGCGAAGGGAAGGAAATTATTTTTTCTTAGAATAACCTGCAGTGGTTTGCATTGGAGGGTTTTAATATTTTTAGAGGTTTTTTGTAAAGATGGTGTTTTGAGCACAGTAAACAATGCATGGATCGGCACGTGGATTTCTGCTCATGTGGCTAAAGGGTCTGCTGGGCTTTTTGTTTAGTAAGATCAAAAAATGAGAGGCAATACTGAATAACAGTATTGTATTTTCATTGTACACCAGGCTCCAAAGCCTCCCAACCCAGTGTTTCACAATTTCACACACCTTGTGGACCCTCGACAAGGTTCAGACGTCAATCTAAGTTCACATTATGAAATATACACATGAAAAGATCTTTTGTTGTCTTTTTTTGTAACTTTGGGGAAAATGTTCAGTTTCTTTTCCTGTTACATAATTGTTTCGGCAAGATAATTATATTTTAAAAACCCTCACCTCAGCACACTGGACTTTAGCAATGTAACCACTGTTCTGTAGTTCCATCCAGTTCGCCTCATAGAGCTTCGGCCCAATCAGGAAGTTAAGATCGACAATCTTATCATCCTCTCTCACTAGTGTGGCAGTGAGACCCAGTTTACAGTGAGCCTGGACTATCGTCAGAACACGACGGAACATCTTTGCTGCAAGACAAACACAAAACAGTCAGAAATCTATACGGTTTTCATTTATATTATTATATTATGTGTTTAAATAATTTCTCTGTTCTCAATGAAAGTGAAATGCTGAGCAAAGCGACAAAATTCCAGCCAATCAGAAGATATTCCTCCTATATTAAATTTAATTTTGCTTCTCCACAATTTTCTGAAATTAATTCAGACTAAAACAGTTTTAAACAGAAGAACAAATATCTGAGCTTGATGTGAAGAACAACCTCATTGCTTCTGCTTACCACAGAGTATCTGCAGGATTTTAGGCTCAAATTTAAAACTTTTTAAGACCTTTTGTAAGACCTGCATAAATAAAATGAATACCATATGAGCGGGGTAGGGAAATGTCTATGGTAAGATATTAAACTGTAAAATGACTGTAAAAAGCATGATTTACAGGTCAGATACAGGTTTTCACAAAAACAAAGTTTACATACAAAACGTAAGATTTCAGCCTTTTAAACCATTTTTAAGTCAAAATGATTAATCATTATATGAATTTAAACAATTATTATGAATCAGTTATTATATTAATTAAATAGCATTAACTAATTAAACATTAAATAACATTAAATATTTTACTGCCTTAAATGTTTAGAATTTTTAAATGCCGATTCATTCTCTGCCAGCAGGGGGCGCTTTTGGAACGGAAGAAATACAGCGGTTTCCCTGGTAACGGCAGAACAGCAGCGCTCCTTTATTTAAAGGGGTCATATGATGCGATTTAAATTTTTCCTTTCTCTTTGAAGTGTTACAAGCTCTTGGTGCATAAAGAAGATCTGTAAAGTTGCAAAGACTAAAGTCTCAAATCCAAAGAGATATTCTTTATAAAAGTTAAGAGTCAACCACCGTTCCACCAACCGTTCCGCCGCGCCGTTCTCAAGCCGCCACCACTCACTCTAGCCGCCGTGTGTGATGCTGTGTGTTTCGTTGTATTCCAAAAATGGACACAATTAGAAATCAGTGGTTAAGTTGTATTTACAACACTGTTCCAGAACACTTGAACCCAAATATTCAGATGTGTGCAGCACATTTTATGGAGGACGATTCCTGATCCTGGTAGAGTAGTAAGTAAGTTTTTTTTATACAGTATTTAAAGAATTTGCTACTGATGATTCAAACGCGAGTTTTGGGCAGTGTAGAGTAGGGCTTGTTGTTTGTCTTTTTTTTTTACCTTAAACCTCATTTCATTACACCAAATACACCAAATAATGTTCTTTTTAGCAGCATCATATGAGCCCTTTAATGAAGTTTAATGGTCACACTAAGCCATATCGCATTTCTTGTCTTTCCGTCCCCAAATTTAAGACCTCTTGAAATCATAATTATGACTTCCTTGTACCATTTAAGACTTTTTTTTACCTTAAATTTGATACAACTAAATTTAAGACTTTTTAAGGACCCGCAGAAACCCTTTACCATATTTGATGTGCATTATGCATGTGTGTTTGTTCAACTCTGAATAAAAGCCTAAATTAATTCTCTTTATCATATAAAATGATATCGATATTCTGGTCTCTTCAGAAGACTTGGATTAAACCAAGTATATATTCATTCCATTAAATGTCCATTCATAAAGATGAATAATGTCTTCATGAACTATTTGAAGTTAAAAATGTTGAAAAAGTTCATTTTTGGGTGAACTATCCCTTTAAGATTGCAAAAAGAAAATGTTGCATTGTTCAAATATTTGCCATTCAAAACCCAAAAACAGCAGTGATATCTTTGTAATATTTGAATTTTCTGAATTTTATCTGAATTATGATTGGTTGTCTGTCTTGAAATTACTGAAATGTCACAGTGGGTGAGCTAACTAGTGTGAAATGAGGAAAACAGAATCCAAGAAAAAAATTGCACTGATTACATGATTTCTCACTTGATATTTTATCAAGCAGCAGTCATGGTGTGTGACCTTCACACACTAAACCTACCTGGGATTGTGTGCACCTCATCTAGTATAATGAGCCCCCACTCCTGACTTTTCATCCACTCCATGACCCTCTCAGCCTCCCATGAGCGTTTGGTGGTGTGGCCCAGCATAGAATAGGTGCTAATGGCCACTGAGCAACCGATGGGCTTGTCTTTTGCGTCTGAAGTGAAACGGCAGATCTGGGAGTCATCAATGGTGGACCACATCTTAAACTGAGCCTTCCACTGTTCCACTGACACAGAGGAGTTTCCCAACACTAGACAGCGTTTACGCACTGTGCAGGCAGCCGTGACGCCCACCAGTGACTTACCAGCACCTGTGGGACAGGAAAGTAGAACAACAAAAAACCTCAATATAGATTCATTTCGTTTTACCTCAATAATATAATTCAAAGAGCTTCTAACCCCAAGTTGCTCTGGTAATGTAATCTTAAATTCTTTGATCATGTACATGTATTTTTATGCCTTGCAAACTTCAACATTTAGTTTTCTAGGGCATTAAGGTACAATTTCTGGTTGTCAGCTTTTAAAAGCTACGTAAAATGATGTTAACTGTCTAAACTAGATTTTTAGAAAATGCAATAACTTGTGATAGCCTTGATAGCATAAAAACATGGTTTAAAAATTAAAAACCAATCAACAAGGTTTTGCTTTGAATGCTATCATTTACAGCAAATGTGATGAATTTACAGCTGTGTTGGAATTGTGGGTTTAATTACAATAACAGTACAGTTTCTAGCAATTACTTAATTACATATGTATATATATATATATATATTAGGGATGGGAAGATTCCCCGATTCGCTCGGTGCATCGGCATAAAAAGTTAATGATACAATGCATCGATTTAAAAAGTGTGCATCGGCTACAAGTTGGCATTTATATCACGATGCATCATTTCTAACATATTTGCATCGGTAAAACACGATTTATTTATATATAATTACTAGTGGATGCGCTATACTTTTATTGTTTAGAAAGTGACCAATAATCTGTGACCAATATGTAGATTGATTTCTCCTCTCTAAACTGTTTGTCAAGTGCGTTCTCTCATGTTTGAGAGAGGCGGGGCATAGAGGACCTACAATAATGTACAGTATTTGAAAAATAATGTGTTTTTTGAACATTAAAGCATGTCAACATATTCTGTTACACCAAATAATGATCTTTAAAAAAAGCATCATATGACCCCTTTAAGTCCAAAACCTAACCTAAAATAACCTAACAAATGAATCGGGGCTAAAGCGGTTCCATAAATGACAAATTAAGTTCACACAATCTCACTAATTTGTGCACGCTTATTCTTAAGCAGCCCTTAATGTCGATCATGGATCAAATCTATCTACCATCGCAAACACGAATATATCTGTGCTGTTTAATGCATTTGAGACGTTGTGTTTTCCTCAGTGCATAACTGACATGTCACAGGTATATTTTTTCATCTGTAAATGTTAGAAAGTCATGCAAACATAAATTTTGCTGTCAGGAGTGGGCGAGGCTGACGCGAGTGAACGAGCGCTGCTGCGCGCATGCGCAGATTGCACACTAAACAGACTGAGGGCAATCGAACAGGAGTGCAATAATTCTGAGTAAAATATACATTTTGCTAAAATATTTGTAGTTAGACATTAAATGTGTCTTTTGTAGAATTTTAAACCTACAAACAAGTGTATTTTTATGATAGCAGTAACTTTAAAGGGACTATTGTAATGGGCAAATCAAAAGTAGCTAGTACAGTACTAATTACTAAGCTCAAATGAGTTAATGTGTGTTGCTTATAGCTCTTAAAATAGTCATTTTCTTTATTTTAATTATTAATTCAGTGATTTTAACTTTTAATTTAATTTAATGTTCCGCAAACTATAAAAGGTACAGCTGTCATAAAACCAGGGAGAAAGGCTGCATGGCTAGAAACTATAAAAAGACAATACATATACATACATATATATATATATATATATATATATATATATGTATGTGTGTAAGGAATAAATGTAACAATTTTACATAAATTATATATTAATTATTAATTTACTTATACAACTCTGTCATAAATTTAAATTCATACAATTGGAAAATGTAGAATCTTTTTGTGTTTGGGGCCAATGAAAATGTTGAAAGGGCAATGACAAAGAAATACTTTACTGACCTTAGAGATTAAAAACCTGTTTTGGAAAATGAATATTAAATGATGTAATGTATTATTATTATTATTGTATTAATTTAATGTATTAAATACACATATCCAGGCAGAGGCAGAACTACTAAAGTCTATATCATAATTGCTGCAATGAAGACATTGATGGAAAACAGTCTGAAATTGCCCATTTCATATTTATTTTGTTATTTTCCCCCAAATAATACTATTGAATTTGATCATTATTACATATTCAAAAGTCTTGTCTGTTTTGTTGGCTGTGGATGCACAGCCCCCTACAATCCAAGACTAGGCATCAATGGCTTCTGGGAAGAAATGGCTCAAACACTGTACATATGTTGAGAGACTGTTTACCACAAGGCAGTACGATGACTCCAGATCGAGCTCTGCCGTTCCCAAACATCTTCCTCAGACTCTTTTCCTGATATGGTCTCAGCACAGCGGTGGGCTTCAGGTCCATGTTGATGTCTGGGTTCACCGTGTCGTTACGGAAGTCATACTCGGCCAGGAGGGGATACTCCAACTGAATGCAACGCTTCTGAAGCTCCTCTATCATTTCCTAATAAGGGCCAGCACAAATATGAAGAATGAATAAGACTAATATGCATGAAGTCTTCACTGAATGCTCTAATCTAAAGGATAGCCAACACAAACCGTTTAAACTCAACCAAGCCTGTCAGAGGAACAGTCAAGGTAAATGAACCTTTAATTCACAATGAAGTAACATTCTCATTCAAGCGCAGACACACACCTGACGGATCTCGAATGACACTGTTTGTGTCTCTTCCTCCTCCTCCTCCTCTTTATCCATCTGTTCGTAGTAACTGAAGATGTCCTCTGGCACTTGATTTCCTGTGCGCTGCCCATCTGAAGGCTGGGAGGTGGATGGACCACCATTGTCCTGCTGAGACTTTGAGATCTAGACAGGATGACACAACAGGTTTTGGTAACAGATATGAGCCTTTTGCTCCACTGGGAATGTTTTAATGTCATTATGTTTACACCCAAGCAACATGTTTTGTGCTCATACTCACTGCTGGTTTACTAGAGATGGTTTCAGTGATGAGCTCAGTCTCCTCACCCTCAGCAGACCGAAGACGACAGTCCCGAATCACAGAGTCCTGTAAGAGCCTCTGAATGACATCAGGGAAAGCACTCTCCACAAAGTACCTGTTCTCAACACACACACCCACACACACACACAAACTTAACCATCTGCACTATCAATGGCATGTGATTGTTGCACAGTCAAGTTAAGGACTAAAAATTTGTGGTCAGTAAAAAAAAATTTTATACAAGAAATTAATACTTTTAACATACAAGCCAAGGATGCATTAAATCGATCAAAAGTGACATTTACAATGTTACAAAAACATTGATGATCAAATGAATGCTGTGTTTTTAACTTTCCATTCATTAAACAATCCTGAGAAAAAAAAATACAGTTTCCAAAAATATTAAGCAGCAAAACGTTTTTCAACATTGATAAGTGTTTTATGAGAATCAAATTAGCATATTAGAATGTTTTCTCAAGGATCATGACACTGAAGACTGAAAAAATAGCATTCAAAAAAAGTTATTTTAAATGATAATTTATATAAATTATAATAAATATATAAATAGAATTATATTTCAATAATACTGTTTTTACTGTATTTTTGATCAAATAAATGCAGCCTTGGTGAGCATATGACACTCCTTTCGAACACTTAAAAAATCTTAATGACCACAAACTTTCGAACGGTAGTCCAAAATAAACAATTACATTTCACAATTGACGATTCAGAATCAAGTGCATCCAATCTTACAATTCAAAACTAATACTTCACATCCAAGTTCAAGTGAATCCAAAGAGTATCCCCAGTCAAACAACACCCGACTTCCTCTTATCTAAATACTATCCGCAGTGTTCAAAATGCCACCCACTGTCCAATAATAAACTGACATCTAAATCATTCAATAGACTGTATATATAATATTCAATCTACAACGTGCTCTTACGCAACTCATTTTCTAACCTTTCTTTGTAAGAAGTTACTAAAAATCTGTGTAAAATGAACTGACCTGTTGTGCTTCAGGACTAGTTTGACTTTCCCGTAGCTCACTGTGCACAGCTGCAGGAGAAGATAGAGAGTAAATTAGTGGCTTTGTTACATAGAAATTTTACAAATCATTTTTATATTACATTTATGCATTTACCAGATGCTTTTATCCAAGGCGATTTACAAAAGAGCAGCAAAGCAACAGTAGAACCAACAATAGTCGTAATAATAGTCATGCATTGGTTTCAGAGTGTGGATGGGTCCCACAAGGTTCATACAGACTTCACTGCCAGCTCACACACACCTTAATAAACTGCACTATGCCGTCTGGCACAGAGGTCTTGCTGAGTTTCTGCAGGTACTCTATGATGTCAGAGGTCTGCAGGCCGACGCTCACAGCGGCGTATAGAGAATAAGCCGTCAGCTTGTACTCGTGCGCATGGGTAGGTCTGCACACCGGCTCCGATATGGCCACCAGGAAGTCCTGAGCATATTTATACACGGGAGAGAAAGCCTCTAGGAAGATGTGACCATCTGGAGCCTAGAGAGTCAAACAAGAGACAAACATATGGCTAATGATAGTTCAACTTTAGATCTAGGCAAGTTAAGATTATGACAAATATAGCTTTCTGTACAGCACTAAAGACAGTATATTTGAAGCAAAATATAGGTCCGGAGACATCTCTACACCAAGTGATAAATTATTATTTAAAATTCCCATGTCACTTGGTCAAAAATCAAAACTTGGCGAGGATCGAGGATCAAGGATCTTCAGTCTTACCACCCATAGGGGCCGGGAAGAGTGATCATTCTTGAGAAGCATCTGTAGTCTGTAGTCTTTGGCTCCATACTCATCCAGTTTAGTGCTGGATTCATCCACCTGCTTCCCAGCAGCTGCTGGAACAGCCTCCTGAGACTCACTGCCCATCACCTCTTCATCATCCTCTTCCTCATCATAATAACGTTTCTTGGACTTTTTATCTAAAGTGAACAAACAACCATTTCAGCTATTTAGACTAGTGATGATCAATCCTGCTACTGGAGATCTGGTTTTAGTTTAAGCCTCGTCTGTGAGTTCCAAAAAGAACCTGAAGTTGGTTCAGGCGTCTTTAGTGATAATGTAAGTTAACAGCATTTAGAAACAATATCTGAATCTACACTTAACCCCCTGTGAAAAATGTACATTTGAATATACTTTTAAAAAGAGTGCCTGTTACTTAATGCCTAGAATGCTTAAGTGTGACCTGGAATGCAATGTTTTTTGACAATTTTCATTACAATTCATTTCAGTGCTTTCTTGAGGTACATCTTTATATGTAATTTCATAATTACATAATGTAATTCATATTTAAAAATGCATGCTTCATCCATCTTACCTCGATCACTCTTATCTTTTTTCCCCATGGTGTCAGCCCTAGAAAACACTCCCCTATTGTGAATTCAGTGATGGTTAAACACAATTTAATAACAAAAACGCAGGAGGATTTATTGAGACGCCACCGCTCTCACGACCATGTCCAGATCAGAACGCGCTTTCTCTACGGATAAAACGCTTGAGAACTGTAAAGCAGCCCACAACAGTAGCGCCACCTGCCGGCTGGATGTGCAGGCGCGCAAACGTCACTGACTGCTATCAAAACACTGTCCAATAACAACCGACTAAAATATTCGAACTGTGGTGAAATAAAACGCCGTCGCCATTTTAAATGTCATTTAGAATTTATTTCACTTTAACACAGTCCAAAGATCAGCATTATTTGGAAAAGTATCATATTTAATGACAGGGCGTTATGTGTATTAAAACAGAATACTTCACAGTTTACCAATTTACCACACAACTAACCAATTTAACAAATGTATCATTTTATATTTGTTATATATGAAAAGGCAACAGAGTAAAATCTGACACATGTCTGGTTTCAGACGCTGTATTGGGCATCACAGGATTAAACGCTGAATATCAATGCAAACAAAAACATAAGAACTATGTGCCTGACTCATAAGATAGGGTGACCATACGTGCCATTTTCCCAGGACGCATCCTGGCCAGGATTTCTATATTGCCTAAAATATCTAGGTTTTGGCTTTGTTTGCGTGTGCAGACCGATCGGTGTACATCAAAATACCTCGAGAGCATTTTGAAAGCATAAGGAACCGTCTGTATGGTATTTTGATGTCATACACCGATCGGTCTGCACACGCAAACAAAGCCAAAACCTAGATATTTTAGGCAATATAGAAATCCTGGCCAGGACGCGTCCTGGGAAAAAGGCACATATGGTCACCCTATCACAAGACATGAGCAAAACTTATTAACTTGTGTGTAAATCATTGGTAAACCCATTATGTAATATGTCACATTTAATTGAATGAGGCTGGATGAGTCAATAAGCCTAACTCTTTGAACAGAATCTCATCAAATTAGTGCAAATGATTCTTAAATCCATTCACATGTAAAGCATCCCACTGATTTGAATGTGACAGTGTACATAAGAATGGTTTTACACACGATTTAAACAGAAATTTGTCTCTTATAAGGCAAATATTTATCTTGTAAGTAAGATTTTTGTGGGTTATAATGTCAAAGTTGATGTTGCTTATGTTCCCATGATGATCCTGAAGTAAAATGACAACTGGTGACAGAGAAGAGAGATTTACGCTCCTGCATCCGAGACGCATGTCGAGTATCTGTATGTGTAGAGTTTGTTATCTGCTCCTCCACTCAAAATCAACTAGAAAGAAAAGCAGACAGAGAAAAGAAATTGTGATAAATCCACAGAAATACACTCCAAGTTTACTGACTGTTAAAGACATGAAATGGTTTAACATACAGCTTTCTTTCCCATGTTGATGCATTTTCTATTTGAAACAGGAAGTAGGTAGAGGACATTTCCTTACAGCCAGAGAAAACCCTAGAGACCAATGGTTCTCGAACCTTTTGACCCTCTTTTTCCAAGACAATATTTGAAGGCCATCATATCTAAGCTGATAAGTACCTCTGGTTGTAATATAAACAAATAAACTCAAAAATATGATGCCAGTTTAATGTTGTACATCTTTATATTTAGTGTTTTTAGCATTTTTATTAAAATTGTTAATATAAGTACATGTAAACAATTTTCGGACTTATCGGTAATTTGTTGAGGGCCCCTGGTTGAGAACCAATGCTGTGTACTATGGATAAATATGGACATATTCCAGGCATTTCACCATAAACAATTGTTAGTCGCGCAAACCAACAACTCATTTTTTGTGACTATAGAAATTGATAGTCGGAAGCAAGCGCTATTCATATTTTAGGGAGAAGAGACACTGCCATTCTAGACTGCATTTTATCGGACAAACACTTGCCCCTAACTTCAGTCATCAATACTGTTTTTATTTCCCAAATTTTGAAAAATTGTCTGAGCATGCTAGCACTTTGATAGCATCAAAGCTAACAGATGTAATCTAAAAGCCTGTTCACACAAACATGAATTAGTTTCATATAAGCAACGTGCAAAAACATGTTACCAGTGTTAAATCATGCTAGAAACATGATAGCAACCTGCTAAGTCATGCTACCAGTGTGATAAATCATGCTATAAAACATGCTAGCAGTGTGTTAAATCATGCTATCATAACATCTTTTAAACATTTTTGGAACTATTTTAAACTTTCAGGCTAGGCTTTCCCAAGCCAACATCAAAGTTTGTCTACAAACTTTACTATCTAGCTCAAAATAAAATGTTTATCACACAAAGTATTCATCTTGGTGTGAACAACCTATGTGATTTCTTGGGGTATTTAACAGTGCTAATAAAACAGACAAATATTGGTATGGTTTATCGTACCCCATTCTCTGTCCAGTCAACGCACAGAATTTTGTCTTCATGGGCAGCAAGATCATAGAGTGGAGCTTTACAGCTGTAAAGAAGAAACCAGGACTGTTAGGGACAGATATGCGGGAACAGGATGGTTTTGGGTTATAATGTATCTGTAAGTCACACACCTCCTTGTGTCCCACAGTTTGACCACATTATCTAGAGATCCTGACACAAGCTGATGCTCGTGAGATGGAGACCACCTGACCGCTGTCACCCAACCGTTATGGGACGTCAGAGACAGGAGAACTAGAGAGCCATCTGGAAAAAAAAGAGAGATATGAGCAATTAAAATAACTGTTAGGATGAGAGGGCATCATTATATGGGATCTCTGATAGTCACCTTTAGATCTTGGGTCCCATAGACGCACATGTCTGTCGGTGCTGCCCGAGGCCAGACGGCGACACAGTGGAGAGTATGAGATAGAGTTGAATACCTTACTGCCTGTCTGCAATACAAGAACATCAGTCTGTAAATCCAGCAGTCCTTAAAGGTAATGTGTACATATTTTTCATTTCTTAAAATACTTTCTCCTGACCCAACTTAATGAGTGAGTGACTGAGTGAGTGACGTGACATGTGGCCAAGTATGGTGACCCATACTAGGAATTAGTGCTCTGCATTTAACCCATCCTAAGTGCACACACACAGCAGTGAACACACACACCGTGAACACACACCCGGAGCAGTGGGCAGCCATTTATGCTGCGGCGCCCGGGGAGCAGTTGGTGCCTTGCTCAAGGGCACCTCAGTCGTGGTATTGAAGGTGGAAGAGAGCGCTGTACATTCACTCCCCCCACCTACAATTCCTTTGGGTTATGAGCCCGACTCTCTAACCATTAGGCCACGACTTCCCCAGTCTTCCCCTAGTCTCTGACTTAATAGGCAGAGACTAGTAGTAGCAAACGGAAAACATGGTGGTGCTTTTAACATATTGCTGTATAAATGAGCATCCCGATCAGCCCAAAAGACCAACGGTGTATGAGTAAAATGGAACTTTCTGTTTGTCTGTTTGGGAAACACGTCTGAAAACAGATGTTATTTTATGCTTGGTGACACAAGTGTTGCAAAATTAAACACTTCACTTGTCCAGAATCCCCCATCTATCATAATAATTATAAAAATAATAATAATAATAATGATTATTATTGTATTTATTATAAATAAGCAAAAAACAACAACTTAGTTATAGGTAAAAATAAGTATAAACTGCTATTTATAAATAATAATACATAACTTATAAAAATACATATATAACTTCAATATGTTTTATAAATGGTTATTTATAAACATCAGCATTTATTATTATCAATATTCATTATTTATAAATAGCAATTTATAAACTTTATATAACTTTAACATTTTATGCTCTCCTGTCCATATCTGTGAAATACAGTCACTAGAGAACTAAAAATGTTAATTATGTTTTACGTTTACATTTAGTCGTTTAGCAGACGCTTTTATCCAAAGCGATTTATAAATATGAAGACAATAGAAACAATCAAAACCAACAAACGGGCAATATGTAAGTGCTGTGAAAAGTCTCGTTTAGCCTAATGCGATTACACATTGCAAGGGATTTTTTTATAATAAAGTAATTAAAAAATATATATTTTTTAATAATAAAGTAGATAGAATAGAAAAAGAATAGGGAATGCTAGTGTTAGAGGGTCTTTTTTTAATAAAAATAAAACGTCAAAAGAATAGAGAATGCTAGTGTCAGAGGCTCTCTCTCTCTTTTTTTTAAAGAAGACTAGTAAGAATAGAAATAGAATAGAGAGTGCAAGTTTTAGAGGGTCAAGGGTTTTTAAGGAAGTTTATATGAAAAGCAAAAAAACAATTACAATCACTTTCAAATAAAAAACAAACGGATCTAACTGGTGTCGCTCACTAGTGTACTCTTCTGCTCGCCAGTCTCTGCATCCCAAAGACGGATGGTGTGATCCCATGATGCACTGCACAGCTCCTCAGCATCCACCCAGAGCACAGAGGACACTGCCTCATTATGACCAGAGAAAGTCATGAGGGGAGTCTAAAGCAGAATAACAAGCATTTATAAAACTGCAAAGCATTAATTAATAACAAGAGTCTGTGTGTCATGAGGATGCATAGACACTAACCCGTGTGAGCCCCATCTGCTCTGTTTTCTGTTTTTTGCGTGGCCTGTTGGGTTCCTCGATCTCATCCTCTTCCACTGTTGGCACTGAGGACAACAACAATACAAGTCCGTTTTTAATGTATTATCTTACATCATTTCATTGTTTCCTTTTTTGAACTTGGATGTTTATCTCGTCTTTTTGAATTAAACATCTCACAGAACGAAGGTTCCAAGGAAAACATACCTGCCGACCATATCTTAAGCATTTTGTCCCATGAGCCACTGCAAAACTGAAGAGAAAACAAAACATGAGACACACATACTGTATGTAGAGTAAATCAAATGCATGACGTTATTTTTGGTTAATATTATTATCATAACCGGTATTGTCTTTAAAAATAAAAACAAAAATATGCATACACTACTGTTCAAAAGTTTCAGGTTGGTAAGAATTTTTTTAAATGTTTTTGGAAGAAGTCTCTTATGCTCACCAAGGCTGCATTTATTTGATCAAAAATACAGTGAAAACAGTAATATTGTAAAATATTATTTCATTTTAAAATAACTGTTTTTTTTAAACATTTTAAAATGTAATTTATTCCCGTGATTCCTTATTTCTGTGATGGCAATGCAGCCATTACTCTTCAGTGTCACACGATCCTTCAGAAATGATTCTAATATGCTGATTTTGTGCTCGAGAAACATTTCTGATTAGTATGAATGTTGAAAACAGTTGCTGCTTAATATTTCTGTGGTAACAGTTATACATTTTTTTCCCAGGAGTCTTTAATTAATTGAAAGTTTAAATAAACCGCAATTATTTGAAATAGAAATCTTTTGTGACATTACAAATATCTTTACTGTCACTTTTGACTTCACTTGTCCAGAATCCCCCATCTATCATAATAATTATAAAAATAATAATAATAATAATGATTATTATTGTATTTATTATAAATAAGCAAAAAACAACAACTTAGTTATAGGTAAAAATAAGTATAAACTGCTATTTATAAATAATAATACATAACTTATAAAAATACATATATAACTTCAATATGTTTTATAAATGGTTATTTATAAACATCAGCATTTATTATTATCAATATTCATTATTTATAAATAGCAATTTATAAACTTTATATAACTTTAACATTTTATGCTCTCCTGTCCATATCTGTGAAATACAGTCACTAGAGAACTAAAAACGTTAATTTTATGTTTTACGTTTACATTTAGTCGTTTAGCAGACGCTTTTATCCAAAGCGACTTATAAATATGAAGACAATAGAAACAATCAAAACCAACAAACGGGCAATATGTAAGTGCTGTGAAAAGTCTCGTTTAGCCTAATGCGATTACACATTGCAAGGGATTTTTTTATAATAAAGTAATAAAAAAAAATATATTTTTTAATAATAAAGTAGATAGAATAGAAAAAGAATAGGGAATGCTAGTGTTAGAGGGTCTTTTTTTAATAAAAATAAAACGTCAAAAGAATAGAGAATGCTAGTGTCAGAGGCTCTCTCTCTCTTTTTTTTAAAGAAGACTAGTAAGAATAGAAATAGAATAGAGAGTGCAAGTTTTAGAGGGTCAAGGGTTTTTAAGGAAGTTTATATGAAAAGCAAAAAAACAATTACAATCACTTTCAAATAAAAAACAAACGGATCTAACTGGTGTCGCTCACTAGTGTACTCTTCTGCTCGCCAGTCTCTGCATCCCAAAGACGGATGGTGTGATCCCATGATGCACTGCACAGCTCCTCAGCGTCCATCCAGAGCACAGAGGACACTGCCTCATTATGACCAGAGAAAGTCATGAGGGGAGTCTAAAGCAGAATAACAAGCATTTATAAAACTGCAAAGCATTAATTAATAACAAGAGTCTGTGTGTCATGAGGATGCATAGACACTAACCCGTGTGAGCCCCATCTGCTCTGTTTTCTGTTTTTTGCGTGGCCTGTTGGGTTCCTCGATCTCATCCTCTTCCACTGTTGGCACTGAGGACAACAACAATACAAGTCCGTTTTTAATGTATTATCTTACATCATTTCATTGTTTCCTTTTTTGAACTTGGATGTTTATCTCGTCTTTTTGAATTAAACATCTCACAGAACGAAGGTTCCAAGGAAAACATACCTGCCGACCATATCTTAAGCATTTTGTCCCATGAGCCACTGCAAAACTGAAGAGAAAACAAAACATGAGACACACATACTGTATGTAGAGTAAATCAAATGCATGACGTTATTTTTGGTTAATATTATTATCATAACCGGTATTGTCTTTAAAAATAAAAACAAAGATATGCATACACTACTGTTCAAAAGTTTCAGGTTGGTAAGAATTTTTTAAAATGTTTTTGGAAGAAGTCTCTTATGCTCACCAAGGCTGCATTTATTTGATCAAAAATACAGTGAAAACAGTAATATTGTAAAATATTATTTCATTTTAAAATAACTGTTTTTTTTAAACATTTTAAAATGTAATTTATTCCCGTGATTCCTTATTTCTGTGATGGCAATGCAGCCATTACTCTTCAGTGTCACACGATCCTTCAGAAATGATTCTAATATGCTGATTTTGTGCTCGAGAAACATTTCTGATTAGTATGAATGTTGAAAACAGTTGCTGCTTAATATTTCTGTGGTAACAGTTATACATTTTTTTCCCAGGAGTCTTTAATTAATTGAAAGTTTAAATAAACCGCAATTATTTGAAATAGAAATCTTTTGTGACATTACAAATATCTTTACTGTCACTTTTGATAAATGCACCCTTGCTGAATATTAATTTCTTTCAAAAACAAATCTTCTAGTACATAATACAGCAAACACACACAAACCTTCGTCCTAGTGGGGTCGACGGCAACTGTGTCTACACTTCCTGCGTGTCCACGGCAACAGTGTCGGGCCTCCACTTTGTTCCGTTCGGAATTCCACTCCCACAACATGATTGTTTGATCCAGAGATGCGGTCAGGAGCAGAGAGCTCAGACCATCTAGAAGGCACAGAAGCATCAAACACAGGTAGAACTGAGAGAAACCTCACGCATCATTAACGCTCAGATTCATACATTCAAATACATATTAGGCATCTCATACTGGTGATCTATTAAATTAATGCACTAATGATCCAGTTTGAAGATTCTCACTTCTCTTCACCCAGGCTACATCCTTCACAACATCAGTGTGTCCAGCCACAGTCATCACAGCCTTCCCTTCCATAGACCAAATCCGTGCAGTCTTATCATAAGAGCCTGTGAGGATCCTGGGATTCGGGCAGAGGAACAAGTTTAATAGATCAGCCACAAATCTGTCCAAGCAAATCAAATTTTGACTTCTGTTTAGTTTCGCTTATCATAAGAGCCTGTGAGGATCCTGGGATTCGGGCAGAGGAACGAGTTTAATAGATCAGCCACAAATCTGTCCAAGCAAATCAAATTTTGGCTTCTGTTTAGTTTCGCATGAAACGCACCATTCAGAATCTGCCTCCACCGAGCTGATCCAGTCATCATGCATGATACACTCCTCCGGCTGTGGGGCTGTGAACTTCTCGACATATTCTATTTCCACCACTTCTTCCTGTTAACACACACACACACACACACACACACACACACAACACAGATGAGCATGTAACCAAACCTGCAAATATATTTTTGCTAAGTTCTCATAGCAGTTTAACTGTTAAAAACAGCTTGAAAAGGCTAAACAATTACACCAATTCATATGGATTACTTTTACAGTGTCATTTTTTTACTTTTTGAAGATTTTGTTTGCATGGACTTTCAATGGATAGATAAAAATGATGAGAGAATATTAAAACGGTAATATTGTAAAATATTACTCCAATCTGAAATAACTTTTTTCTTTTGGAATACATTTTAAAATGTAATTTATTCCTGTGATTTACTCGGTGATCGTCAGTATCACATGATCATACAGAAATCATTCTAGCATGCTGATTTGATGCTCAAGAAATATTTAATTTATTATTGAAAACGGTCGTCCCGCTTAATATTTTTATGATTACTTTTACAGTGTCATTTTTTTACTTTTTGAAGATTTTGTTTGCATGGACTTTCAATGGATAGATAAAAATGATGAGAGAATATTAAAACGGTAATATTGTAAAATATTACTCCAATCTGAAATAACTTTTTTCTTTTGGAATACATTTTAAAATGTAATTTATTCCTGTGATTTACTCGGTGATCGTCAGTATCACATGATCATACAGAAATCATTCTAACATGCTGATTTGATGCTCAAGAAATATTTAATTTATTATTGAAAACGGTCGTCCTGCTTAATATTTTTATATCCTTTTTGCATATTTGTTTTCAGGATTTTTGATGAAGAGACAGTTCAAAGAAACATTTATTTGGAAATAGAAATTTATGAGAAAGTCTTAGGAGGGTGACTAAATGATGACAGAATTTTCATTTTTGGTTTAACTATCCATTTAAACTCAGTCTCAGTCAAATAGTTTGACTGAAATGATACTTTACTGTCAAGCAATTTGATTTGAGCTCGTCATTTTTGTGCGCAAAATATGTATCACAGGGTCAGTGAACACTGTATAGATGTGTGCTTGCGAGACTAAATTAAATGCACTGCCATACCGTTGAGATGTTCTCTTTCTCCATGTGACTGGCCAGTGAAGTGCGGAGAAACTGACCTCGAACCAGGAAATCAAACTCGACATGTTTGTGTCCATCTGTAAAAAGACAGATGGACACAAGTTCAATAGAAAAATACAAGGAAAATACAGTCAGGGGCTGTATTACAGAAACATCCTACCTGTTTTGTAACCATGGCTATTTCACTTTGGACATTTTCAATAATTATGACAGGAAGTTTCTGTAATACAGTCTATGATCCTTAAATTGGTGAGAGTCATTCTTGAGAAGTGGGACAAAACAGGGTGCAAAATTGAAAAAATAAAACCTTGTACTCAGACAACTGAAACTACATTTATGTATCTTATATGAACTAAGCTGCTGAGCTATGCTTTGATACAACCTCCCAACTTTTCTCTTTTTTAACAAAATAGAGATTCAAAATAGAAAAACAGCATTCAAGATGTTTTTAACATTTCAAAACACATTCTCGTGTCAGCAGACAGATTACACTTTCACATGTGACCAACTCCACGACAAATATAAAATATCATAATGAAATATTATCAAAATATTCAACTGACAGAGTTGACGAAAACCTGAATTTGTAATAACTATCTCATACATTGATTCAGTCAATTACTGTATTAAAACAAACAGTGAGTATGCTATTGTTTATAAAGCTTTTATTCAAGAGTCACACTTAAGTATTTTGATATATCATTGGAACACAAATCTTATGGTGGTGACACAGTGTTGACAAATTTGGCATTTCTTTCACAAAACCAATGGAGTTCATGTGGTAGCCATTTTGTTTTTTTCTGTTGATGCTAGATGCTAATGGAACCTGCTTCAGGAGAATACAATTATCTAAATATTTCAAATAATTTCCTCAGAAATTGGAAGATTGTGTTGACGTATCATGGCTGTGACACAGGAAATATTAACATTAGGATTTAAAACATTCTAAAACTAAAACTTAGCAGAGCCTGTCTGACACTGATGTACTCTGCGGAGGTGAACTGTGGCAAGGGGCTCCTTTAGAGTGACAGCTGCCCCTGATATTCCCTGATTTTATTACATTTTATTGAATGTCTGACGGTGTTGACAAAAAGTGGGGATGCAATTTTAAAATCGTATTAAACATGCATGTGTCATTAAAAAAACAACAACCTTGCTTTGATTGGAGATATTATTAAGTGTTGCTTTTGATAAAACAAGCTCTTTTTCATCATTAAAAAAAACATTTTTATCCATTTTATTGCATATGAATGCTTGAACCCTTCTCTGTGGACACACTGTTTTAGACGTAGCGAGAGGACATTAAGAAACACAGATTTGGTATAATAATGAGAAAATTAAATTGAAGGCGATAATTGTGTTAAATACATTCTATTATTAATCCCTCATGACATTTAAAATTGAAAATATATAATTTTTTATAAACCTAATAGCAGTTACCCTTGCTGGACCTGTTTTGTCCCACGTCTCAAGATAATAGATTCCACACAATTTTTGGAAAATGACTTTTAGGAAGTCCTGCAAGTCCTGACCATTCTTGGCTTCCAGCAGCTTGTTGATGACACCACTGAGATCCGCCACCTCCGAGGCAGCAGGGATGGAGAACGGAACATCATCTATCAGATACCTACAGAGAAGAGCATGAGGAGAACATCTTCCATCTCGTACAAACACAGCCTACATCGATTTCACTTCAAAACCGTTAAATACCCAGATCATTCTGAGCATAGCTTATAAAGAAGCCATTTTCACTATATGAACAACACTATGAATACTACCAAGCAAAAATCAACTGGATATCTCTTATCTAGCTAAGCTAAACGTTTCAGCTATTTGTATTACGCACATCAAATATACTCACTTTTTGTTTTCGGTGAAGAACCGGGCCTGTACCTGCGACATTTTATCTTGTTAGACTGTAACTATTTAGAAAACACACCTGATCCGTGGCGAACTTCACTCTGTATGGAGACACTTTGCCACCATGTGGTTCCCCAATGCTTGCGGGTGGAAGACATGAGAGTCGATCACAGAGCAATCGGTGGTCGACAAGTGCGCTTGCAACTGTTCACGTCTGACTTGAGCTCCATACTGTACTACTAAAGTTTCTGTGGATTTTTTTTTAGTGAGAAGACGGTATAAATGTTGTAAAGTATGTTTGAGTCAACGTAAATCCATATAAAATAACACAACGAGATGCTGCACAATGGAAATATTTTACTGCTCTCCCCTGTTTCTCAGATCTTTTCCTGAAAAAACACCAGTTATCTCCCATGTCTAGAGTTACAAAAGAGATCTTAACCATGTCTCACACTGTACTCAGATTTACCCAGTGGCAGAGCTAGAGTTTTATACAAAAGGGTGGCTAAGACTAATTCAGGGGGTCCATAGACCATGACAGAGAATCAGTGTATAACTCCAACCTGGCATAAAAACCTTGAATGAATCTTACAATTGCTGATCACTTCATATTACCCCACATTAGCTATACATTCCTACCATAACTTCAAACGTTAGTCTATTGGAACGTATTTCTCTTATTTCTATCATCTGATTAACCAGCGGTTGGAGCAAAAGGTCTAACATTAACTTATGAATAATTGACAAGCTTGCGATTAAGTACTTAATTTTTCTAAATTTTTCTAAACTAAACTAGGCTATACAGAGAGCCCTAAAGGGGTCATATGATGCGATTTCAATTTTTCCTTTCTCTTTGGAGTGTTACAAGCTCTTGGTGCATAAAGAAGATCTGTAAAGTTGCAAAGACTAAAGTCTCAAATCCAAAGAGATATTCTTTATAAAAGTTACGAGTTAACCACGCCTACCTAAAACAGCTCGTTCTAGCACGCCCCCACATGTCTACCTCACTATGTGGGAAGATTTGCATAACGCTGCCCAAATGTTCACGCAAAGAAAGAAGGCGTAACTTTTATTCTCGCTGTAGTATTGTTGCCGCCGCCGCCATGTCGTGAAGGCGCTGTGTGATTCGTTGTGAAAGTGAAACTACTTTGTTTGGTCTTCCAAAAGAGGACGATATCCGCTTCGTCATGCATAGAGCTGATCTGTGCTGGTCGCTGAGGGAATACATCAACTTAGTGCTGTGGATCGCCGGATCGGCTTTCACCGTGGACGAAGCAGATTCCAGCCCGGGGTCGTCACATGTGGTTGCCGCAAGCCCTCCGGACGCTCCTTCGTCAAATCCACCGGCCGCGCCATTCTCAATCCCGCCCTCTGCTCACTCTAGCCGTCGTGTGTGACGCTGTGTGTTTCGTTGTGAAAGCGAAACTACTTTGTTTGGTCTTCCAAAAGAGGACACAACTAGAAATCAGTGGTTAAGTTGTATTTACAACACTGTTCCAGAACACTTCAACCCAAATATTCAGATGTGTGCAGCACATTTTATGGAGGACTATTTCCTGATCCTGGGAGAGTAGACTACAATGTCGGCTGTTCTGACTCACAGTCTGTAAGTACGTTTTTTTTACATTTAAAGAATTTGCCACTGACGATTCAAACGTGAGTTTTGAGCAGTGTAGAGTAGCGCTTGTTGTTTGTCATTTCTCTGATCACAAATGCAGACATGGTTTTATGTTTATGCGGCGCGAAATAGACAGTATAAGTCTTATTTATATAATAAGTAAATTATAATCCGTAATTATGTCCCCACTGGATGCAACAAATGCCTCGTTTATAATGGGTTTTAATGTTTTTGTCTCGTCGCTCCGGCCGGACAGGGCATCACAGTATGGTAAGGGGCGTAACATTTCCGTCACACGCTTGAGGTATTCAGCCAATCACAACGCACTGGATAGCTGGCCAATCAGAGCACACCTCGCTTTTCAGACCGATGAGCTTTGTAAAAATAGACGTGTTTCAAAAAGGCGGGGCATAGAGGAGCAACAATAATGTACAGTATGTGGAAAATAATGTGTTTTTTTAACCTTAAACCGCATAAACACATTTCATTACACCAAATACACAAAATAATGTTCTTTTTAGCAACATCATATGACCCCTTTAAGGTTAAAAGTAACAATTGATTTGTATACAAGTTCATATTAGACCATTTTTATAATAGCGTTATATCTATACATATACTAAAAAATAATGAATAAAAATATAATAAATTTAATTTTTGAAAAATTATCCTCTCTACCGTACATTTTTCTTGCTAGTTTATGGACACTGAATGTATTTTCTGAGGTTATGTGACAGTGTTTTCAAGCTGCTGTCTTTCCGCTGTTGAAACACTCATTGAGTGATTACATGAGATACAGTACATTAAGTAAGTTGTAGTCTATCTTTCAACATACCCTTGGATGTTCATTCATGCGGTTAAATCTATTAGCTCAATGTTAAAAACAAAGCTTAGTGTTTAGCCTCTTTTTTGGTCCAAGAATGTATATATATATATATATATATATACTTTTCTGTAAGTAAAATTTAATTTCTTTTGATTTTTGGGTGAAATGCGACCTGGACATGCTCTGCCAGGATTACCCTCATGCTCTCTACGGAAGAAGATAACATCTCAATGTAAATACGTATATATGTATATATTTCTGTATATATCTCGAGCTATGAAAGAACAACCTCTGATCAATAACGTTTTCCTTTTGAGAAGTATATTTGAATATTATAATACAGACTAAAGGCGGAACTAATCACTAGAAATTCTGAATCCATAGTTAAATAAATTGTGCAAGTACAGAGGATCTTTGTTCCATTTTCCTGCATTCTTTTCAAATATGTGATGTCTTGTCAGCCAGTAGCCGTTAAACAGCACATGTGATATGTATTTCATCTTTTTAAAAAGCCATGTCCTTCTACTTCCTGTTGTTGTGCTCTTGTACATCACAGTTCCGAACAGCAATATTTCATGTTTACGCACAACATCCCATCTCTTTATCCAGACATCCTTGACAAACATGTCCCAAGCAGTCTGATCAGCACCCATCAAGTTGACAGCCAACATAGCAACTTTGCATTGTTTAGGTCACATCGTCCCAGCAGGCCAAGGGGTCAAGGTTGTGTCTGCTGTGGGTCCGCAGCTGCGAGAGGCCTCTCTGTTTTTCCCAAGACTCTCCGCTGTTGCAGACCTGCCTGGGGACACCATGCAACTCTCCTGAGTCTGCTCCCTTGGCAGTGAGCACCCGTGGGAGGCAGTTTGAGAGATAACGTACCGCTTAAAGATCCCCACATTACCTCACCAGATAAGGCAGAGGGAGGGGATGGAGCCGAGCGGGGTGGACATTGGGCCTTTGGGTGGAGGAGAGGGCCGAACCCCTTCAAGCATTTCGAAGGAAACACTCAAATGCTGTCATTTACACACTGTTTCGGTGGTCTGGCCGGTGGTTCTCATGGCAGAGCGAGCACTGGAAGAGGATGTGGCACAGGAGAGGAGAGAGATGGGAAGAAAGAGTGTGCGGACACAGAAATGGACACAACCATGCATGAAACAGGGAACACATCGAGAGCCAAAGAAGTGGGTGAGTGAAGGAAGAAGTGGATGAAGTGGTTTGTGCTCAAAAGGATTTAAACCGTTTGGTTATGAAGAGAAATAAGACATCATGAGTTGGGTTTTATTGTGTATCAACATGCGCATCAAAAGTGAATACCATGGCTTTTCACACTAATTAGTTCCAAATTACTTCAGTACAGAATGTTGAATTTTTTTGTATTAATAAATAAATATTATTATAAATAAATATGAACAAATACAAATAAAAAATAAATAATATTATGAAATAAATATGATTTCTAAAACTATTACAAATATTTAAAAAACAGCAACTTTGTATTATACTAAAATTTCCTGACAATATAATTTTTTGAATTTTTTGCTGACAATATAATTTATAATGAAAAGTTTGTATTACAATGAAAAAAGGCAAAATAAAAGCTTTTTCATCAGTGGTCCGTAACAGATTTCAAACCCACTTTAGATTATATTTAAATACTATGTACTAATGTTAAAATTAATCTTTTGACACACTAAAAATGTGTAGAAGCAATTTTGTCTCAGAAATAGCTACATTTCCCAAAAAATTACAAAGAAACACCAAGTAACATAAAGTAAACATGAAATTGTGAAGTAGAAAAACTAATTATAACTAAATAAGCTAATTAAAAACTAGTATTTTGTTGTAAAATGTAATCCATTAATCTTTATTTTATTTACAACTTTGAAAGAACATTTTTCAAAGTGTACAATGCATTTATGTTGTTGACAAAGGTATTTACATTGTACTTGTATTTTAAAAAGACATTCATATAATTACGGCTGTAATTAATTTTAGTAAATGCATCTGTAATTACACTGTTGACCCCTTAACCACCCTTAAACTTACCCATACCACTAAACCCGTGCCTAACCTACCCGTATTCCACGTCAGTAGCAGCAAACGTGTTTTGCAATCCCACATGAACACAATAAATTCATCGTACCTAACAATTATTCTTTTTTGGATAGCATTTATTTTACATTCCTGTTCCTTTTGTACACTAATTACAATAACTGGATAATAACTAGGTACTAACCCTGAACCTGAACTTAACCCATGTAGCTGCCTTATACTACAGTACTTTCTTTGGTAAGTACATGTACTGTAAAATAAAGTGTAACCATTTTTTCATATAACTAGTATAGTTTGATACAACTAGTAATTGAAGATACCTAATATAAAATGGGACCCGCCTCTAAAGACTCACAAGACATGGTAAGAAGTTTTCGCTCATTCCTTTTTGATTGTCTTAGGTAAGGTCTGAACCGACAACTCCATCCAGAGCATGTAAGACCCAAAACTCTCCTGAGAATGCAGCGAGAGAGAGGAGTCGTGTTCGGAACCTTCGACAAGCCTTCCACAGCCTGCAGGCTGCTTTGCCCTCCGTCCCTCCCGACACAAAACTCTCCAAGCTGGACGTCCTGGTGCTGGCCACCAACTATATCGCCCACCTGACCGAAACCCTGGACCAGGGTGGGATGTTGGGGGACCATACCATCCTGCAAAGAGCAGAGTACCTGCATCCTGTGAAGGTGAATGGTTGTTAATATTAGGTCAATATGTAATGGAGAACACGGTCAGAAATAGCATGTTACATATCGATATTAAGTGCCATCTATTTAAAGTTTTACATTATTGTAACATTTTTTTCTAGGTTTTCTAAGGGATTCAGTATCTTGTGTATTTAATATATACATGGAGAAATAGTGATGGACTTGTCTTCTTTCACAGAAATGGCCCATGCGTTCTCTTCTGTACTGTGGGAACATAGGAGAGCGACTGACAGGAGCACAGATCAGTCAGGAGGCATCTTGCCTGCCGAAGGTGAAAGCAGACTAATGGACTGAGAAGACATTTCAGATACTCAGTAATTGTTGGAAAACACTGATGCATGTTAGAAATTGACCTGAGCACTTTTTTTTTGTAAATATGATTCCTTTTTTAGTTATGGCTTGAACATACAAATACTACATAATTTTCCTTTTATTTTGATTAAACACTAGTATATAATTGTGTTTATATATTATTCCACATTTATACTGTAGTCGGTTGTGAGAGAAAATATCGTCTGTGGTAATAGACGTCATGACACAGAGACTGTCAATAGAATATTAACCTGTATTTTTGAACCATAAAATGCACATGTGGGTCAAAAACACAGAACATTCACTTTTTAAAAAAAAAATATTGTCACATAAAGTGGTCTATTCATTTGCATTCCAGAAATTCCGTAATTAAGTAAAATAATTGTTTTCACAATTTGTTTGGTATTTTTTAAATTAATATTACTATTTAAAAAAAGGGTTTAGTAAAAAGAAAGGATGCTAGTTCAAGTGAACATGCATGTAAAAAAATCTACATACAATTGACATATATTAACATATGTTGGATTTTTGACCCACTTGTATACATTCTAGAATAGATACTACCTTTTAATCTAGAATATTCCTTCTTTAGGTTCTTACCCATTTAGAGCATGACTAAATTAACAGGTCACTTTATCTCTACTGGCCGTATCTTGACTATTTGGGTTTAATATGTCTGTTTTGTTCTTGATAGTAATAAAATGAATGTCTTGATTAGTGGGAAGGGAGGATTATTATAAGGAACACTTGGCAACCACACATGAGTGGAGAAGCCCCATGTCCTCTCAATCATGGGTAGCTTAGCAGATCCACACTAAAAACACAGCTTTTTTAAATTTATTTAACTGCACAAATCCCAAATCATTCCAAATTATAAGAGGCAGTAAAAAACTAATATTCCCCCTCCAAAAGTGACAGTGTTCTTACAGTATTTGCTTGGAACTGTGCTGCCATATTTGGTATTGTGTAATTAGCGTTCAACCAAACACGCATGTCTGTGAGATTGATTAGACTCCATGATCTTTCACTGGTATTTTACCTTGTTTTTCTGTTAAGCATGAAAATTAGTGACATGGTCTAAATTCTTGCAATGCACACTTCTAGTCAATAGTTTGCACACACTTGGCTGAATTTATGTTTGTCGTTATTTAAAAAAAATTGGGTCTAAGCTAATGCTTAAATGCTTGAAATTCATTTAGGACCACCTTTAATACTGTTAAACCCATGTATGAATAATTCAATCCCAAATGAGAAAAACATCTTCATGTTTATTTTTATTACAGTACAAGAATAAAATGATTATTTTATCAAAATAATGGTGTTTTGAGAGATTTCATTGCAATAGAAAATATTCCAGAGGTACTTTACCACTTTTATCAATCATGTTGAGTTTGTATTGTTATGAATAAAAATCACCAGTGTTGGGGGTAACGCATTACAAGTAACGCAATATGCATAATCAGATGACTCCCCACCCCCCAAGTAACTAGTAAAGTAAAGCATTACTTTTTCAATTTACAAGAAAATATGTTACTTTTTCAAATAAGTGATGCCAGTTACTTTGCTTCCCCATTTATTGACTGACAGCTCTCCTGTCTTCATGTTGAGAGAAATTGGGAGTGAATGCATTGTGTGCGCTGTGTAAACATGATGCTTACTGTATTTAGACCAAATGTGAACATGCATTTACTCATCTCACTCGCACAAAAACAGATTCAGTGTTCCTCAAAATGAATAAAAACGGTGAAATGCAAACTCAGAATATGATGCAAACCTGCAATAATTAAATATGTTAAATAACACAAATGTGACCCTGGACCACAAAACCAGTCATAAGGGTCAATTTTTTTCGAAATTGAGATTTATACACCATCTGAAAGCTGAAAATAAATTCGCTTTCCATTGATGTATGGTTTGTTAGGATAGGACAATATTTGACCGAGATACAACTATTTGAAAATCTGGAATCTGAGGGTGCAAAACAAATCTAAATATTGAGAAAATTGCCTTTAAAGTTGTCCAAATGAAGTTCTTAGCAATGCATATTACTAATCGAAAATTAAGTTTTAATATATTTACGGTAGGAAATGTACTAAATATCTTCATGGAACATGATCTTTACTTATTCAAATGATTTTTGGCATAAAAGAAAAATCAATAATTTTGACCCATACAATGTATTTTTGGCTATTGCTACAAATATACCCCAGCGACTTAAGACTGGTTTTGTGGTCCAGGGTCACAAATATCCTTTATGTATTTAATCCCATTTTATCAATCAATGTCTTTGCTGCTGACCTTCCATGACATACTAATAAGCAAAACTGCTTATGGTCAAAGCATAATGCTAAAGGTCAAAGATCATCATCTATATTATTTAACAAAGCCAAAGCCTTTGGCTTTATAAGGAACTAATTTTCCAGCACTCTAGATCTAGATTTTGTATTTTACTTGTATTATACTTTGCTACTTGCATCAGTTATTTTACTGAATAAATGCTCTTTCTAGAAAGACACTGGTTCAAACATGTCAACCACCATAAATGTGACTACATTTGTGTTGTGAGCAACATGACCATTCTCAATTATTCATATCCAGAGCTTTGCAAAACAAGGGCTCCCATCCATAAGACATGGTCAAGGCCAACTCCGTAAATCTGTCTAAGTTCCTGATAAAACCATTTTCTCATGTTAATGGCCAAAATGGACCAGAGAGAACCGCGCTACTAAGGCAAGGGTTATGGAGCCAGAGAACAAGGGCAAATGTTTGCTGCATTAGAATCTCTGCCACCATAACTCATTCTCACCATTTAAGGAGTGTTCTCACCAAGTAACATTAAGCTGAGGATGAATGGATCTGATGATAATGCTGAATACTGTAATTGAGGACATTTTGGAATCCATGGGATAAACATGTCAACACGAACAAAATAAAGGCACCAATTAGAGTGAAATTTTTTTTTACAGCCTGACACAATATTAGCGCCTATTAAGCTCCATAAAAACATTAAAGGATTTTAAAAAATGTTTTTAAAGAAAATTATCTAGATTTTAGATCTAAAATACTTAAAAATAAGACAAAACAAACATTAAAAAAATTTAATTCACTCCATCAAACATTTTTTATTTTAAAGTCTGACTACTAGATGTGGATATAAATTAATCCTCCATAACTAATTCATCCATGATTAATACATAACTCTTGTAATTCCACAGCCATTTTTATAACAAATATACAATTTTCTAGTTACATTTAAAACATTTTATAAGCTTCTGATAAAAAAAAAAAAGTATTTAATGCATTGCAAACCGAATGTGGTGTAACATTTTTGCATTTTACACTTGAGTGCAAACTGATAATTAAGTTCTATGCCTTTTTGCCTACAAATATTAAAAATGAGCTGCTTTCTCCTTAAGAACTGTGATTTACTGTAGGAGGCCCAGTGATATCCAGATTCTGTCACTTCCTCTCATGTTAAAGAGATAATCAAAATAGCTGCTCTATCTTCTGCTCATTAGTCCTAGAACATACTGATGGCTGACTAAATTTATGCAGTATTTTGGCCAAGTTTCTTGACTTGGTCTGATCTTACTGGAACAAGGATAGAGGAGGAACCAGAGAGGAATGTAAAACATAGACACACACACACACACAAATAAAACATGAAGTACTCCATCCTAAGATTTGGCTAAATGTCCTCACGGTCCAGTTTCATCTCCACTAAATTTGTAAGCAGCATCTTATTTCCTCTTTGGGATTGAGATCATCTGGAGCAAAGTGCTTTGGATTTGAATCTAAAAGATTTTAATTAAAACTGGTCAAGTGCAGCACTACAGATTTGGGCGAGCAGCCCTTTGGCTGAAGTTCAACGGCCAATATTTTTCTAAACTACATCAATCAATGTTACACTTTGTATAAATGCACTAACCATGAAAAAGCACAAAACAAAAAATGAGCCCAAATGCTAGAAACATACAGTATTTAATAATCCTGAGACACAAATGACCCAGTTTTACATCACAAAACGTACTCCTCACACATTTCTATTATAATGTGATCCCACTCACTCACTTTAAAATGAAAACATTCACTTATAAAAGACTAACTAAACTGTTTGATCCAGTAAAACTCAATACACAGGAGAAGCATCAAATTATATAAATCTTATGGACCTTTCTCTTGCAATCAAGCAATATGGAGAGAAAATGTCCTATAATTAAAATATATTGTTTTTGAAGAATGACAGTCCACTGGAACTGTTTGTTGTGAGCTGGGCCAGACACACAAAAAGGGGATGTGACCATCATATGTCGTCTAAAAACTATAAAAATGTCATTTTATATACAACAAAGTCCAATTCATCTATTCGTCCTCTTCTTAAACCTTTTTCTTCTTTTTCTTCTTCTTTTCTGTTGTCTGTAAAAGGAAAAAACTTTTAGGATTTCTAAAACAAAATATGATTGCGTTTGGCATCATGGTCCTCACCTCTTCTGCTGGACTGACTGGTGCTTCTTCCGCCGGCTCCACCTCAGCCGCTCGTTTCTTTTCCTTCTTTTTCTTTTTTGTCGTCTATAAAGCACAAGTAGTAACATGTAGAAAACTGCAAGACGTACTTATCACATCATATAAGTGCTCAAAGGAGTGTTTCAAAGGTAAATTCTGGTCCCCAGATAAGCTGGACTTAAAAGGTATAGTCCACCCAAAAATGAAAATTACCTCATGATTTACTCACCCTCAAGGCATTCTAGGTGTATATGACTTTCTTCTTTCAGACGAATACAATCAGAATTATATTAAAAAATCTACTGGCTCTTCCCAACTTTATAATGGCAGTGAATGGGTGTTATTTATCAATAGTCCAAAAGAAGTCCAATAAAGTGCATCTATCATCATAAAATGTGTCCCACACGGCTCCGGAGGGTGAATAAAGGCCTCCTGAAGCGAATTGATGCATTTTTGTACAAATAATATCCATATTTAAACTTTATAAACAGTAATCACTGGCTTCCACTTACTATTGTACGTGCATACACAAGAGAAT